AGCTGTGCAGTTTGAATGCTGACTTCTGCCCCAAGGCAAAGACTGTGCCTCTGAAAGGAAAGATGCGCTTCTCCCACAGCCTCTGCAGCTCAGCCCAGGCAGCATGTACCAGTTACCCCAAGTGCCTGTGAGCCAAGGCAGTCGTGCTCAGACCAGCCCCCTTCCCTTCCTACCTGAGAAGACACAAAAGGACTCACTGACAGAGAGCGGGGCTTGCCAAGCCTGTAAGCTGTCCTCTGCGAGCGAGATAAAGAGCCCAGTGCCCTTAAACACACAATTGTAAGAGCTGATTAAGGTCAGAGCTACAGGGGGGTAATTTAGGCTTTGGGAAGGGGCCAGAAGCTCAGTCAGGCCCCAGGAAGGGGAGCTGCACATACAGCGCTTCTGCATGGGCCAGCCTGGGCAGGTGGTCTCAGAGCTCCCCACCGCAGCAGGACGCTGCTGAGCAGTGGGGCAGGCAGAGTTTATCTTCAGGAAACCTCTTGCAGACCCCTCCCTGCCAGGAAATACAAGCAAACAGGATTGTGACTTCCACTGAAGCTGGGGTTGAACCTGCCTCTCTAAGTGGCTGGCTACTCCAAAGCGTGGTGAAACCTGCTCCACAGTGCTTCCTCCTCCCCTTTGCCCTGAAAAATGGACAATCCTTTCCATTTTATGGAAACAGTTAACTGTGCCCTAACACCATGTATTATGGTCCCTCCCTGGAGCTGTGCTTTCAGTACTCTTGCTGAAAAGAAGGGTTGTAAGAGGAGGAAGGGGGAGAGAAGGAGAAGCTGGTACTTCTCTCACCAACTCATGTGCTGGAATTAAGGGAGCACCAGAGCGACGGGTGCTTGGCTCAGCTGTCTCAGCACAGCAAACAGCTCTCTGCAATGCAGGAGTTGTGAAAAGCAGAGGTGAGAAGGGAGGGCGAACTGCCCTTCTGAGATCTGCCATCAGGGTTTCTGGTTCCCTCTCAGCTCATCCTGCAGTGCAACCTTCTTGCAGCAGAGCACGCAGGAACGCCTGGGAGCCGAACAAGCTGGCAGAGGCAAGCACTAACCAAAATATGTTGCTGGAGCCCAGTTCCTTCCTCAGCGCTCTGCAGAAGTCGTGGGCAGTTAGTGTGAGCTAGGCTGAGGTAGCCTAACCGTTAGCATAATCCCAAGAATTTTAACTGACTTCTGCTGTAGCAGAAACAGATGAAATATGGTCAAGCCACCTGTCCCAAACAACAGGGGAGCTCCTGTGTGCTCAAGAAAACAGACAGCTCAGGATCTGGACTATCTCCCAAAGTTCCAGGGAACACAGGGTCCTCTCTGGGGACTCATGTGGAGCAAGGAGGTTGAGCAAGAAACTACTGCACAAAGGCCCTGGCTCATCTCCCTCCCTCCACTGTCTCACCCACAAGAGGGGAACGTTGCGTAATTTGGAATTTAAGTGCTTTGGTAGCCCAACCTGTTCAGCTTCCATGCTGTCATTTGGTCTTAAGCCAAAATCTCTCTGGAAAACAGCACACCAACTCTGCAGCAACAGCTGGTAAAAGAATGGGGACAGGATGAGACACCAAACACTTCAAACCAAGTACCTAAAACCTGAGCTGCCTGCTCCTCAGACAAGCACAGAGCCTGCCCTCATCTCCGCTGCCCAGCAGGTCCATTTGGTGAGAACACTTTCCCAATAAACATCAGGAGCAAACTCCAGCCACTTGTGCCTTATTGACAACTGGGCTAAAACCCCAATGTTTCTGTGAGCAGAGGGAAGGCATGCTGCTGCTCTGCAAGCCGTGTTTGCATCACTCAGCTGCATGCAAGCTCAAAACCCAGCTTCAGAACCAGAATATTTCCTTCCCAGCACTACACACCTGCCCGCAGTGCAGCCCAAGGCGGTGGCCTGGGGTACTGCACAGTCCAGCCCGACGAGGAGCTCCCACTGAGGACTCTCCTAGGGCCTCATACAAAGCTGAAAGAAACAAACAGCAGAACAGCAGCATCTGGAACAGCTGGCAGAGTTCATGCCCACAGATGCCTGCTCTTGTTAGCACCTCTGCCAAATGGATTTATTTGGTTTGCTAAGACGTTCACGGGACAGAACAAGAGACTTCTGCATAGGCTGATCCACTGTGGCAGACACTTAGAAAACACTGCTAGCCAAGTGAGCTAAAACCATTAGAAAAAAAAGAAAGGCAAACTTTATTTACACTGAAGAGCACCCAGCAGGACCCTCCATCCCCTGGCCGCACATGCACACGCATCAACTTCTCTCTTCCCTTCCATCTGCCGCAAGCTGGGGATCCTGCTGCCGCACCTCGTCTCTCAGTGCTCTATCCGGACCACCATGACTGTGACGTTGTCCGCCGATCCTCGCTGCACTGCCTTGTTGGCCAGTCTGTTACACGCAGCTTCGTATCTAGCATCTGCTTCCAGCTTCCCTTCTCTTGTCTGGATGTTCTTATCCTGTTGGGACAAGGAAAGACAACGCTAATTGCTCCCAGCAAAGAGTGTAGGTGCAAGCATGTGGTAATTTCCAAGAACAGGGAAGCAAAACAAATAAGGACACCCTCAGGTGTAGGGGACAATACCCTGTCAGAAGTACATTTCTGCAGGTCAGAGCCATTTTGTGTCCCCTGCCCTGACAAAGCCAGCCCTCACACTGCCTTCTCCTCACCTCCAGGCAGGACACAATGAAGTTCACTGCTTCTTCGGGTGTGAAGACTTTAAAGAGGCCATCACACGCTATCAGAATGAACCTGGAAATCAAGCAGAGACAGGTTCCAAGGCTGAATCTTTGGCTCCCAAGCTACAGCAAAATCCCTCCAAGCTATTTTATGAGTACCCACACTGCAATTAAGGGTAGACACCATAAAGCTCATCTGAAATTCCCTCGGAAGCACCAGAAATCCTGTGGTGCTCCAGAACCTACCATTCATAGAGCTGAGGCAATTCAAAGTACAGGCCAAAGAGCCAGGCAAACAACTTAAGTCCTGGATCAGGACATTCTGGCAGTCTACCTGACACTGCACAACTAACCAAGACCATATACCACACCCTGCTGGAAAGCAGTTCCAAGAGAAGTTATGGAGCTTCTTTCCTTTGAGTCCTTTTCATTCACATATTTTCCCTGTGGAGAAGCTAACGCAAGGAAATAGAAAAACACAGCTTAATTATGGGCATCTTTAAATCCTTTCACTTCTGTGCTCCTGAGGTATGCAATAACTTAATTAAAATAGAAATATTCAAAACAAAAGCAAGCACCAGAAACAGGCATAACTGTGATCAGGAAAACTCTGCCACAGGGTATTGCTGCAGGCTGCAAAAGGTTGAGGGGATACAAACCCCAAGGCAAGGAGAGCTGCCTCCTAGCTCCCCACCAGAGGATGGGAGAGACAGCCTGCATGCACCCCCTGCCTGCAGGGGGGATTTGATTAACCAGGAGCCCTGGACAAGGAAAACTGCAACCATCCCGCAGAGGTGGCCAGCCTGCTAGAGCAGCACATGTCTCTGAAGACATCGTTTCAGAGCCTGATGCTCAGAATAACTTCAGAAATATTTTAGTGGATCACTTGATATGGAACTCTAATCCCAGAAAAAGCAGCAGTACTGGGTTACGTTCTCACCCTCAGAGAGCCTGCAGGGCCATGCTGAGGTGAAAGCTCACAGCAATTTGTCACTGCCAATCATATGTTAGAAAAGTATCTCAAATCTTCAATATCAGAGCTGAATGTAATGGTACTTGTGGGCATCACGGCTGGTAGAAACAGCTCTTGGACAGGAGAGGGATCCAAGAATTCAAGCCTTAACCGACTGCTCAGACACTGGTATGCGAACATATTCAGAGCATGAAGGAAGTCTATGGCTCACGTATGTTATCACTGCTGCAAGGCTGGGTTCTCCAACAGGAGCCTTCAGAGTATCTCGGAAGAGTGAGGCAGCAGCCTTATCACATTATACGGATAAGGAAAAGGAGCAGAGAAACACCAGCAGTAAGCGCATCCTCTAATTCTGGGTGATCAGCCTGAAATGCATCAAGCCCTAACCGCAGAGCGTAGGGGGGCGTGCAGCTTGTGCTGCTTCTGCTGAGCAGAGCTAGGATGCAGCCAACCCCCTTGCGCGTGGGCACGCTTTACCTGTCATTGTGCGTGAGCTGGCAGCGTTTGATATCTGGCACAGAGATAACACCACAGCGTTTGTACTGGCCATCCCCAATGGAGCGGGAAACCTCCAGCACTCCTAGGACTCTTCCATCCCTGCACAAGGGAAGAAAATGTTGAGAGCCCTCCCCACACATGTATATCACACTGCAGGACACTGATATGGACACTCTTCAGGATGCGTTCAGTTGCCTCCTACAAATACTGACCCACTTCACCAGCAAGTTCAAATCTTCCCTTCAAAGTCTCCTTCCCATTCTGCATGTTTGTGGGAAGCTTTGGGAAACAAGTGGAGAGGGGGAGGAAGAAACAAGTCAGGAGAATTCAAGGCTGTTTTCCATCTAACTGCCCTAACTCACGTCCTGCTTAGCCTAGCAAGCCAGAGAAGAGTTCTATTCTGAGCTGAACTCCCGGAGGCAGAGGTTTGAATTCACAGATTATTTTTTGGCAAGATATCTAGCAAACTGCACTAGAGCGGCAGCAAGCAAGAGCAGGTCTGAGCCAGCAGCCCCTCCTGTGCTCTGCCCATCGAGACATCAGCCCCTACAGACTGGCTCTGCTGGGGGCAGTTCCAAGGAGCAAGGGCCACAGCAATTTCTCCTGATCATTCGGTCTTTACTAACCACTGCTCACAGCAACCAGTTCTGTGAAACCCAACTTACAATCCTCCTTAGGAAGCAGTTTTGTTTGCTAAACGTTTCTAATTGATTGAGTGCTGCCCCAACACAAGCAGCTTTCCACCTTTCCAATGATCAAGCATCTTCTCCCCCAAAAGGCTCTTCTGTGCACTCTGGAAAGACATCAGCCCATTCATCTCGTAGTCCGGTCAGCCCCACTTGAGATAAAAGCAAGAAGCAAGGCACATCACAGAGAAGAGATCTGATGCTCACACACTTTGTGACTTAGGACTCAGGTCCAAAATATGTAGCTACAAGCAAGAAGCCTTGGAGATGTTCCCAGGCAGCTGGGGAGATGTTCCCTCAGTTCCAAAAAGAGCTAACAGACACTGGCCCATCTCTTTCCTGCGTACAAGGATAGATCAGTGCTCAGCACAGGAAGCAGCATGTGCTCTCCAGAGATAAGGGGAACAAGGCCCTCCAGACATGGCAGCATGAGCCCACCCTTGCCCACCCAGGGGCCATTCTGCCTCTGCAGGCACTACAATACTTCACTTGCACTGAGTCCTCTCTTGTGAGGATGCCATTAAATCAAGAAACAGCTTTCAAAGGAGAGAGAACGTAGCCAGGGAAATCAGACACAGCTGCTGTGTTCAGCACCAGCCGCCCAAACAGCCATGCCCACCTACATGCACAGGAATATTAAAGATAATCTCACTTGGGCTCCAGAAAACTCCCTCCTACTGCAGAACCCCTCAGTGCACCAGCTAAGCCCCAGGGGAGCAACACTGACAGACATCCAGGGCTTCTTACGCCCTCTCAAGCCATTCCCCCCATACAGGTCAAGGAAGTGAGTTCTGCTCAATGCCGCAGCGCGCAGCAGGTGATAACTGCTTACACAACCAAGCCCAGCTCTGAAGGGGAAGCTTAAGCACATCCATGCTTGCACTGCACTGCTGGGCCTTCATGTGGGTTCCTGCCTCTGCAGCACAGCACCCCCCCACCATCGTAAGCCCCTGGGAACCAGCTCAAGTCCCTGAATCGTTGAGACACCTCAGGCACCACTATGGCTCCCACAGGCAGCAACACATCCTCCCTGGGCTCTCACTAGTGTGAGCGCTGGGCTCAGGAAACTCCAAAAATTCAGTGCTCGGGCCCAAAGTTGGGCCAGGGTTTAGATTTGCTTACTCACAGACTTCAGGCACTTACCTGACATTTCCCCCAGCTTTCTGTATCCGCATACGCTCCTCATATTGGGTGGGGTTGTGCTCCTTACTGAGGCTTAAGGCTGCGTGTTTCTGACTCTCTTCATTGTAACGACACAGAATCGCCTGTGCTGACAAAAGACCCTTGTGAGTAAACAACAATAAAACTCCATCAAGAGCAACTTCTTGAGAGAGAGCTGCAAGCTATAGCAAATGGGGCTGCACCTGGCTGGCGACTGGTCACCAGCAGCATTTCTCAGGGCTGGGTCCTACGGCCAGGGCTG